ACGGAGGGGCTGGAAGCGCCTCTGCCCCGCGCGGGGCCGGGGGACCGGCCGGGCGCCAGCCCCCTCAGCCGTCACCCCAAGCACGTTACCGAAGGAGGGCTGCCCCTTCCCCGGGCTGGGCGGCGGGCCCAGCGCCCCGAACCACCACCCTGCCTCCGGGCGGGGAAACCAGCCAACACCTCCGGGCAGGGAACCACCTCCACGCTCGGACACCCGCTCTCGGGGCTCCGGCTGGCGAGACCCCAAAGCCTAACAGGCAGCTTCCGAGCATCAGCAGCCGTCTTCAGGACTTTGTGAACTAACCCGCGAGGAACAACTTCTAACACAGACGATGGACTGTGCGGCTCCCCGGCTTCCTGGGAATCAAGATCCGACCACGAACTCTTCAGGTCCCTGAACACGGATTAGACGCCCGCTGCAACAGAGCCTAATCCAACTGAAACCTACTGAAATATAAACGCATATCATAACCGTATGTGATTATACAGCCCACAGCTCATTAGCTCTTTCAGAGCTTTTGTGGGAAAAGTGATTTGGTAACTTTTTAAGATAGTGGCCAAGTTTTTCTAGTAACATCTAAATGAAGATAGCCCCACAAAGCCTCTCTGCCGCTGCCCTCACACACCGCCCCTCCTCTCCTCCAGCAACGCTGGGTGCAGCGGGCATGGCCCAGGCCAGGGACAGCCCAGCTCCATCCCCAGTCCTCGTCGGTGCTGGGCCTGCATTCAGCCGTAACAACCAGGTTTACGCAACGCATTCAAAAGAGACAGTTCAAGATCCAATCCTCATACCGCTGTGAACACCACAATCATTTGTGATTCCTCTGAAGTCACAACACTTCCACAGAAACAGATGAAAAGAAGCCACAGCTCTAGTACAGCTGTGACCAACAGTTTCTGCATGCGCTAACATGTTGACTCCGGCCATGTGTAACATCTTGTATAATTTATATGGTGTTTCACACTGTTTTTCAAGTTTACAGCATTTACTGGGACGCTTCTGACAAAAAAAGAGGTCAGTTTTGTTACCAAGTAGGAAAAAGTACTAGCTGGGAGGCAGACTGCATTAAAACATGCCGTGTCTCTTCCGGAACTTAAAGATAGGCTTTAGGTAGGGAGGCAAAACACCGGCTTTAGACCTTCTTGCTACAAGCTCAGCAACCCCCTCGAGAACAAACTGTTTTCTGAGCAGCAGAACTTAAAGCCCTGTTTCCTGTAGCTTTTTATCTCATGCTTTAATTATCTTCTCCCTTACAAGGCATCAGCTCTAACAAAGTCACTTATGGCACCTCTTCTTGGTAGATTCTCGGACATGTAATAACACCATTAGCTTACTCAGGTGCCACTCCCGAAGTAGAGTCAGTAATTCATTTCTTGGCTCTGCCCAGCTGACTTTTCACTGTTTGTGCCCATAGTATTTTTGAGATCATCAGACTTGAACATTTGAGCAGACCATGCGTGCAGATGCCTTGTTTTCTCAGACAACCAGGCTAATGAGGAAACTATTGCAACTACATAGTACAATCAAGTCAGAAATACATGGCCAGTAGGAGCCTCAAGCAATCGTCTAGTCTATCATCCCTTTCTGGACTGGAATAAAAATCATCTAAAAAAACCCCACCCACTGTTTCTGCTCAAGGGACCATTTTTTACAGCTTTCATAATCGCCTGGTTCAACGTTACACAAAATTTTGCCCAGTAACTAAACTACATATCCCTACTTGTGCAGGCTTAGCTGGAAATTAAAGTTCCCTGCCCTCCAATATTCAACAGAGAAGCCCTGCTGTAAAGGATTTATATCCTAAATAGACAAATGAAGAGAGCATCCTAGGATCCCAAGACCTTCCCTCCCGAGTACTGCGCTCATAAAAGACGCCTAACAGCTCTGAGTCCCTCAAGTCCCAGGACAGGCAAAGAACAGGCTTCAGTCGTGTAGTCACACACAGTGCATTTCATCCCTTCTTCTAAGGGCTTGACCTCAGATGCTGAGAGGGGAAAAAAAAAAAAAAAAGTTGCATGATTAGGTGCTTCCTATTTAGTAAGCCATAGAGGATTAACAATAGAAGTCTGACCTTCGGTTTAAATCCTCTTACCTGAATGGGAAAGAACGGCTTTAGTAACACAAAGACCATCCATTATCATTTGCCAGATTAAACAACTTAAGAGCCTTTTAAGAACAAATGAGTTATGAATGAAATGTAGTAGCTTCAAAGTAATCTAAAAGGAAAATATAGCACGACATCCACTACATTGGCGGCTTTTACATCTAAGATCTTTGGAAAAGTATTTTCACATTATAATTAGTGTAATGATCACACACATTAGATGCAAAATTAAAAACACCTCAACATAAAACAGAAGTACTAACTTTGTGCTTCTGCTGGACAGTTCTGCATTGCTTGCTCTATTTCTATTAAGCATGCAATTTGTTATTCATACCTTAAAACACACAGGACGTGCAACAAATCCAAGTTAATGTTCTTGCCTAGTCCAGAAAACCATGGCAACAAACACTGAAAGATTATTTGCATTTTGTATCTGTGCAGGTCTGCCAAAGCATGGTCATGGACCCTCCCTACTATTAAAAAAGAACGAATGGAAGTTCAAGTGTCTTTTGACATCTCAACCTACCCCCTGCCTCTCAGCTCTTGTCCAACTCCATTTTATTCAGTCTTTCTTTCACAAACATTTACACACATGAGCAATTTCACACCTTAACAGTCCACTTGAGGCAATGGAGCTATTCAAGCATATAAAGTTATTTACATACAGAGAGAATGGAAACCATCAACTCTGAGCTCCTTGGGGAGCTGAACATACCTTCGTGTCTCTCTGCAAAGCACCATGGAAATATATGGCACTGTAGGTGCAGAATGCATCATTTCCTGTCAGTATTGTTAAATTTGGTTCTGGTCAAACCAAGCGGCAAAAATAAACCATATGATCCTGTGCTACATTATAACAAAACTGCAAAATACTCTCTCTACAAAAAAACTAATTAAGATGTAGATTTAAATGCAAAGCTCTACAGAGGAGACAAGATGATTAAACAATTAGGCTCTTTTTTGTTTACAAATTGCATTTATAGCAATACACTTGGTTACTCACAGCTATGCTTTACAGCATATTTACAGGAGATGATGCAAAGCCCAAGGCATCTTCAAGTTTAGTTCACCATCATAAGATAACTACTTGCAACACTCCATGGGAGCCCAATTTTCCAGAATTTAGATGCCATCGTGAAGTTTAAATTGTTAAAACATTGATTTCTAAGCTACAGCTTATGAAGATTTTCCTCAGAAGAAGAGGGCTGAGGCATCCTTTCCTGCTCTGATACCCACGAAGTTTCAAAAAGAAGATGATCTAGTGTTCTTCCACAAATATAGTGTTCTTTCCACAAATAGTATGTCAAGGGAAAAAAAAAAAAAAAAAAAAATATCACACAGTACCAGCTGCAAGATTTTTAGAAATCATTCTTCCTAGCAGTTAACATGAAGTCACCACATAAAAGTATCAGAGAGCAGTCACTGGAAAATGGGCCAAAACATTAGGTTAGCAAATTAAATTCAACCCCCTTTAATTCAGTACATCACTGAATAAAGCTTCTTAATCCTGGAGACAGCTTATTTAAAAAAAACCCACCAAACCCCACTTATGGGCACCTACACGATTGCGAACTCTGGAAGACTAGAAATTGTGAAGACACCAGGCCTTCCCAGGAGGTTTCACATTTGTGATTTCATGCGTGTTACTTGTAACCTTTATGAACAACAAAGAACTTATTAACATCCTTAATTGGCAAGGAGCGTGTTGTAAAGCGAGCTGCCGGGACAGCGAGCGCCTCAGCGGCACTCTGGGCCCGAGGACCCCGATCAGCTCAGAGCCCCTCAGCAGCACGGCCGCCATGTTAGGCGGCCTGGCCTCCCACCAGCCGCAGCAGGCCGGTCCCTGGCGCTCAGCCACCCTCCCTGGCACTGCCCTTCGCCTTAAGAACTGCTAAAAGCAACGCGGAATTAGCAAGAAGCGGGAGGTTCTTTAGTCGACATCAAGCCCACGTTGCGAAGGGATGCTCGGTACCAAACCCGCGGCACAGGGAGGCGCCCGCCCGGTGGACGCCCCCGCACTGTCCCTGCCGGTTCCGAGGTCCGGCCCCGGGAAGCACAAGTAGCTCCGGGCGGACAGCGGCCCCAGGGCTCCCCCCCACGCTCCGACGGGCGT